GACAGGGCCCTCCACAGTGTCTTCCACTCCTCCCCTATTCCTCCAGTGAACAGCACCCTCCTAGGAGTCCACTCAATCTTCCCTCTATTCCTACAGTTGTCCATCCTCCCCACTTCACTTTTGCCCTTGCCCTCTGCTCCCATTCTGCCCCCATGTCTTCCATGCCACCAGAACTGTGGTGGCTTTGCCCACCTTTGGCCACAAATCATGCCCAAATAATGGGGAAAAGCAGGCAGTTGACCAAGTCCATGATGACAGCAAAAGATATACATACCTCGACAGGAGTGGGTGGGTCCCACAGTGTGTGAGGGAGGAGGTGATGCTGGATCACACGCTACGGAACGAGCTGCACTTCGGTTCGAAGGAAGGCTTTCAGGCTTAAGCGTTCTAGCTTGGGGGATAGTCTTCAACAAGCGTATGGGGTGAAAATGCTACTGAGGAGAATGATTCATTGCAAGAGACGGCCAGCTCATTGCTGCAAATCTTGACATCCAACGGGCTTCTAGTGCAGAAACACTGCAACACAAGGACAGGCATGCTAAATGACAGCCATAACATCGAATTTGAGGCAACTCCGACCACGAGAAGAAACCAACCAGGGAAAGGAGCGAGGGACTGAGGCAGGAAAACGATAGAATGGTCACGGTAGCCGGCAATGTGGAATGGCGAAGTGTAGAAACAACACAAAGAACAGGCAGGCCGAATTGGCAGAGGAACAGAGTTAGCAGAGGATGACACACGGCACACCCCACGGCAGGCATTGCATAGCCAGACGGCAACACACACACACACACACACACACACACACACACACACACACACACAATGCTAGAATCATAATAATCAATGACATGTTTTGTTCACTATGGCCAAGGTGCCAACTGGTTGGAACAGAGGGACGATGACCGAAACCAGGAAAGAAAGTGTTGTGTTCATCCGTAGGAAAAACAAATCTTTTGTACAGGAATAGAAGGTTCGAAGTCCTTCCATATCGTAGAAGAATGATTAGGGACTAGAAAGTTAAGCCACTCACAAGGACGGCAAGCTGCTCGCTCCTTTACAAATACCGTGTGTGTGTGTGTGTGTGTGTGTGTGTGTGTGTGTGCTGTCTCTTATACACATCTAGATGTGTATAAGAGACAGTTCCCGTACAGATGCCGTACATAAATAACCTGTACGTTTCGAAACCAACGCGAACAAGCGCTACAACCCTCCAAATGTGAGCATAAAGATATTAAAAAAAAAAACGTTTTTAAGAAAATTTAAAACAAATATATGTTATGTAAAATAATAATAAAAGCAACGTTTGTCTGAGAGGTATACTCAATTTCGTAATCCAACTCGAGTTAAAAATTAAAAACCTCAAAAACAATTAAGATCTTTTTAATCATAAAAAAAAAAAGTTCAACCGAAAACATTCGGCAGGTGTTCGGCTGAACACCCGAACATATTTGGACGTTCGAGAAAATGTCGAATATGTTTGGTGTGCTACAAAGAATAAATGTATGGTCCTTCACAAAATAAAACAAAACAAAACGATCATCAGACTATTTATCTTAGAAACAATGTCAGACCCTTTAAGACCCAACCAAATGTTCGCAAAACCACCTTCCTCCCACTTTTTCTCATTCCATCCCTCCTTGTCTGTATTCAAACAACATAAATAATAGATGAAGTTTCACTCATGCATTTCATTTACTTAATCTGAATAAAGTCTTGATCCGAAAACGAAAATTTGTAGGGACGGATGCATACATACAAGAAAAAGTAAAGAGATGTATGTAATAAGGGACAGTGGTTTCACACAATGATGCGGTCCTACTGGTTTCCAATCCTATCGGCCACCTTCCTCTGGTAACAAGTAAACTGAACTGAGAGTCAGGACGGCAGAAGGAGAAAGATCAAGTCACTCAGATACAAGAAGAGTGTAGTCATATTTGTGTGAGGGTGCCTTGAAGCCTTCAGTCGCTAGAGAGTCCCTCAATGGTGGCCAAAAATGCAGTAGGATACAAACGGCAACCCAAAAGTGTAGAACAACCGCACGCTGACGAACCTCCAAGTCGCAATAGCAACCCCTTTGCAGCTTGACCACTTTCCGGAGCTACAATGCCTCACTCTTAGACCAATCTATTGTTACGCAACCTGGAAAATGTGTGTTCAAATAGTGCACACCCCCATGCTCTATTTGGAACGTGGGCGGAACATAGCAGAACTCAATAAGAAAATGTGCATACAACAACTGTTTGCAACAACAATGTACCATGCACAACACGATCCGAGATTCTGAGCAAAACACAACAGCGAATCGTATCAGCAGACGCAACTGCAAAACGCAGTAATTTACAACAATACATAGCCAATGCACAACCAATGCCAATACCTTATCACGATCACAGTAACTCAAATTAGCCACTTGCGTGAGACGAAATGCACTGTAGTTGGAGTCAAACGCAAACCCGCAATGTTCAATCAACAACAATGTCGTAATTGCGTCAACATCCCTGTAGCATCTACACAACAGCAGGCCAGCCTTTCTTCCCCCTTTGTCCTCGTATTTGACTTTATTCTTCAACTCTTCAACAACGTGATTGCTCCTCCAATACCTTGCATGAGCTCGACCATGATTGACACTTTCGGATTTCATGATCATGTATATGGTGACAAAAGATAATAGTAACCAAAGTCAAGTATGATACGAGTAAAACATCCGCCATAACTATGCCAAGTAGGCAAGCAATGCATTTTCCAACGATCCCAATTATACGCGGCGGCCTTTTGAACACAACCACCACGAGAGGCTCAATGGGGTCGACTGTGAGCGGCCCACCATGGCTAAAATGGCGAATACAACCGCCACTCCAATGACTACCAATCACAACATGGCGATCATCACGATCATGAAGGCAAAAAATGGATCAGTTGAGATCCCAAACCCAATTGGCACAACAATGGCAATCGTCTTCCTCCTCTACTCACCAAAACACGTAACGAGAGTGGATTTTCCGCAAAAGAATGGAAATATATGTCGCCTTCCCCAGGTAAGCATTTGGACCCCTCCTCTCCTTCTCTCTCTGTAGCCTGTAATGCACAAATGCACCTGACCACCCACTTCGCCCAATTCGTTCAACAAGGATAACAGGCGGGGTGAAGATCACAAGTTGGACGAGGCCAAAGACAGGGAGAATGACCGCATCCAGAACGCGCTATCATGACCGGGAGGGAGACTGCATCTGAATCGGAGAAGAGGATTACAACGGCGTGCTCCGCCTTGCGGCTATGGGTCGTTCTCCGCTACTCGCCAACTGCGGGACTTGAGAATGGATCTTCTGTTACAACATCGGAAAAAATGCCGCCTTCCGGAAAAATCTGTTGCGACGACGACGAGAGTACTGCGCCGCACTTTCGTCTCATCCCGCATCGTATGCTCCTAACGGTAAGTTCTCCCCCTCTCTATACACTATCCTATCTGCAAAACTAAACTCACCATTCGATTCGCCCGCGTTTAGAACCCCTACCTAGCGCTTTACCCCACCCACATCCGCCAAGAATGTCGAAGCTCAATTCTTCCTGGCTCCGCCATCTTCTTTCTCGTTGTTGTCAACTATTTTTCGTCCCCGTCCTTGAATAGCGTAGTGCGTAAGATATTCTGACAGCAGTTGCATACACACAACAAAAAGGAAGGGAAAGATGAAAACCATTTTATGGCCTGTCGGACCATGCCCTTCGGGTTGAGCATAGTCACGTCGGCTCTAGGATATACTCACACTCCCACTACCCCGGAAGAGTATAGCCTCTACTGCAAATGAATGCAGGCACGCCCTGCTTCGCCTTGCAGAGGGCAGCGGCCTTGAGATATTGCCATCGAACTGACCGGCCTCTGGTTTTTCAAAACTTTTTGGTCTCACTTGTTAAGTTCAATCATGTGGATTCGAGCTCATGTCTATATTTCATCGGTTCATGACTACGCCGACAAAGCTAACCCGTTGGTACTGCAGATGCTGTGGGACTGCTACCACACCAACCTCAAGCATCAAAATTGTCGTGTTTTACCGATCTGTATCAAGTGGAATTTCACCTTGAATCTGTGTTTCAATAGTTCAAGAGTGTACCAATTGAGCAAAGCCAAATGGTTGCGAGACCGGCCTTGGTACCGACACTATGCTCACATCCCAAAAAAAAAAGCCTTAAACATAAAAAAAATAAAATAAAAAGAAAAATAAAAAGAAAAACATTGGAACTTCATCGAGGGGGACAGAGACCGTGGGCATCCTCCTCGGTCAATCTGGCCAGTGGTTGGGGCTGGTGACCCCCGCCGGATCCTCAACCCCTTGAGGTTTTCTTCAAACGCTTCATTGCTCCTCGTTGTCAGACACAGGCCTCGATCTCCGTCACTCCGTGATGAAAATCCGATGTTGTAACCAATACTGTTCGGCCCAGGGCCAAAATAAACTACTGCGAACAATATAAACGGATGTTGCACGGTCCACGGACGTACCAGGGTGCCACAAAGCCATACCTTGGCCTGCACCCAAATCCATGGCCGCCAAACGCTGGTGCTCGCTGTAGGAAAACCCTGGTTCTACTCATGGCCCGTCGTACGCACGCCACTTCCACACACCTCCGCTGATGCCAGGGAAAATCCTTCCCCGCGGACTAACACGACACGACCCTCTACTTCTCCATATGCCATGCGGACTGCAAGGGCCCTTTCCCATAAAATTTAAACCACCAGTATTCCGCCCAGCTATAAAAAAACGTTGTGGCCGTTAACGCGCCGTAGCTTTCGAGGGTCCGGGAAACCAACGCCCGGTCATTGCATTTTCCGGAAAAAAAAAAAAAAAATTTGCAAAAATTAAAAAAAAAAACAATTTGCTTCTACCAACAAATTAAAAAAACGAAACGAAAAACGGCAACTTCACGCGCCTG